CACATCAAGGCTGGAACTTCAGAGGTTTCATGTTACATATAGAATTTGATGCCAGGAAGTAGCTACGTTGCATAGTCTTGAGGAGCAGACTGATGAGCCACTCTGCTTATCAAATAGTCTAGAATCCCAGATTTCAAATAAATCCAGATCTCTCTTCCTGCCATGTTGAAGACAAACTGATGCATTTCTGCCCTTCAGATGAAGCAGAGCAGAAGAATATGTCTTCCACACCAAGGTTCAGATGCAGTCTTCCAAAGGCCTTGACTAGTAGCACTATCACTATCACTAGCACTGGCACTAGCACCTATATATTGCTTCACAGTGCTTGACAGTCCCCTCTAAGCAGTTTACAGAGTCAGCCTATTGCCCCCAACAATCTGGGTCCTCATTTTACTGACCTCGGAAGGATGGAAGGCTGAGTCAATCTTGAGCCTTGATGTTTGTATTTGCTGCTGTTCATGATACCCCAAAAAAGAATTACAATGGAAGGAAAGACATAACTAAAGCATGAAGCTTAGTAATGTGTCAAAGTATAACCATGAGATCAAATATTTTGTTTGGAAGTAAAGAAGCCCAAGTTGATGGTTTATGAACTATTAACGGCATCCTGGTGTTCAAACCTGGTGTCCTTCCTAAATATGTTTGTTGGGGAATTGTGCTCTTAACAAATTCAGAAAGTTTTTACTGGCTGATGTTAAAGTAATGAGAATCTAATTCCTGAGACTTGTATATTCAATAGAGGAGTATTGGCTGAAGAAAAGATTTTTCTAGATTGGTGATAGCAAATGGGCTAAACCGGAAAACAAAAGGTAGAAGTGCATAATCTGGGTTTCTGGAGAATCTTTCTCAGCACTTCCAAGCATATATATATATATATATATATATATATATTATTTATGCAAAGGTCTGCTCTTTTCATTGTGCATACAATGTGATTGCTGGTTTGACACTGCAGGCTACACTGGTTTTATGAAGGATTAAATGCCACCTGAGACATATTTATCCTAAATAAATCACAAATGGTAAACTGCAGCATGTCAGTGTCAACACCCTGTATTGCTGCGGAAAGGTTAGCCATACAGGACTGAGCATAGCTAAAAATTAGCATCCAAGCCATAAGACCAGAGGGCTCCAGTTAACAGGCAAAATGATCAAGAAAAAATCTTTTCAATGAAAAACATTCCTTTGAGTACCTACGAGAATCTTGCAGAAGGCCATCATTTTGTAAAGGTCACTTTTATCCTGATAACAAACGGGAGTTGATCCTGTCATTGTTGGCTGAAGACAGTATTTAATAAGTAGTGAGCGGACTGTCACTTTTAAGAAGAATGAGCAAGTTAAACTTGGCTAATTGTGACTTTCAGTCTCTCTCTCCCTCTTTTTTTAATTTTATTCTTCCTCTTTATTTTGGGGGCTGATCTGACACATCCAACCTGGAAAATAAAAACAACAACACATTTGCCAATCTGACAAGCGCATGCCCCTTGCAGCTAATTTTAGAACAGACAATTGCGCTCTGACTTTTTGATAATCGGATGTATCATTTACGCGTCTTCTGCCCGATACTTTTGAATCATAAAAATTAGATAATTAAGATATTAAATTAAACTAATCCAGTTACTTCTTCTTCTTCTGGCCTGAAAGTCGCGAGTCCAAATGGGAACAGAAAAATTTTCCCTCCCCTGCTCCTTTCTCAAATCAGACTGGGAGAGTAATCATGATGCCTAGTGGGAATTCTGTAAATCTATGACACTTTTCCAGCTTGCTTCTAAATGTAAAACTAAGACACTCAACATCCCCACATACAATTTGTGGGCAACAAATTTGCAGGCCTGTAGTAAAGTCTACTTAATGCCAGCTCTGTGTATTGATCAACAGTGCATGTCTGTAAGAACTCTCAGTGGGATCTGTTTCCAGGTAAGCTTAACATTAAAAATGAGAATACACCTTTTAATGCTGGTTTTTTTTTATTGTAAAGAACCAACTGTTTCCCTATATATGATAGCTACATCTCTTAAGGAAAAACAGAAGTTTTTATAGCAGAAAAATATTTGTTTTTTTAACAGGAACTTACTTTAAACAATCAGAACTTATCCACAACTAAATCAACATTCTGATCCAACAAGAAATAGATCAAAGTCAACTTTTTGCATTTAAGATTAATGGCAGAATTTAACATGGAAAAGGGTCATCAAATATTTGCAAAGCCCATTCATAAAACAAACTGCAAAATGGTATATATTTGAACGATACTATTTTTTTTTAAAAAAAGAAAAAATCCCAGCATTGATTACATAACAGGCATTAGCGAGTTTCTTTTGCTAATATCTCCACAAGGGTTGATTCCAGAGATATCTCATGGTATCCAGTGGGAGGTTCAATCACAATAAAATATTTTTTTTTAAAAAAAAGACTTTTTGAACCACACCATAAATTTATTTCATTGTGAATACTGCATTTTGAGTAGAAATAACTGGGGCGTATTTAAACAAGTTTGGAATGTAAAATTATTGCATACATAGAATGCCTTAATCTATACATTGTTGATGTCTATGTCAATTGGGTGATATGAGTACAGTACCTGCATATTTAATTTGCTCTCCCTACAGAAAGTCAGATAAATCAAATTCCATAATTAATCCCAAGAAAGATAAAACTATCAGATGTCAAAATATAATGAAGAGGTGATAAGCAAAATAAACCAAACTATCTAATGAAGATAATTAAATTAATATTTCGGTAGTTGCATCTGTGTATGTTCTGATTTTATTTTGTAAATTTTTCAATGTCTATAACCAGTGACAGTCTGATGTGCTCATGGAAAAACAAGGAAAATTCCCTTTTGTATGTAACATTCCCAGGATGGTGATGGTAACACCGTATAAATGCATTGAACAGCAAATAACATTTAGAAATGCTTTAAAAGTTAACAATAAAACATAATATATCTGATGTTTAATTCTTTCTTTTTTTTAAAGTTAATAGGTAGAGTATTTTTGTATCTTTTATAGTTCGCTGTTATCTCTTTGGCCCTGGATAATAGCTGTTTGTGAACCATCTTCTGTGTAAATGAGCATGCTACTTAGTTGTTCAACACTTCTGTCACAAGGATTTTGATTAGAATTTATAACTGTGGCAGCCTGCAAAAGTTCTTCAGTATCCTCTTTCTCTATCACAGTATGTGAATATACTCTAGAGTCATTCTCAATTTCCTGTGGTAATTGTGTTACTATGTAATGAGTTGCACCACTGGCAAAGTTATTGTTAGACTCCTGAACCATCGCTTGAGCAATCTCCTCTGTGACAATGATCTGTGAAATTCCACCATCTGCTTCAACCAAATCCATGTGTTGACTTTGGATGCTCAGGGTATGGCTGTCAGCCTCTTGCATTATTATTTGAGATCCTTCTCTAGATACCATATGCACGGTTCCTTCCTCATTCAAAATAACCTGAGTGACACCTTCTTTCATCAGCTGATCAGCTGCAGCTGAATCGCATACAGCGAACTGGAGGACTCCTTCAACCATTTTCTTGAAGGCAACTTGAGCATTTTCCTGAGATGAAATTATGGTAGACGGATGCATAACTTGTGTTACTACCTCCATGGACTGTTCTTCTTTAATTTCCTGAACACCATGGAACATTTGTGTTTCCTGTGTTATGTCATCCAGAGAAACGGCATCTGTTTCTGGATTTGACATTTGCAATGCTTCTTTGTGACAAAGCTGTGCTCTATCCAAGAGTTCTGCTTTGTTCTCCACCTCACCAAGTTCTGTTACAGCACAAAGCAAAGCATCTAACGCTGAGGCAGACTCAGGTGGGTGTACCCTTGATGTATCCAGAGATTCTTGTCTCATTATCTGTTGCACCACTGCATTATTTGGGGCTGAAGCCATCCCTATGGAAACAGCATCTTCAATAGCAGTTTCTCCTACAGAGCCTTCAACGACAACAAGTTGTGTTTTCCCATCTGACAATTGTTCGTTAAGTATTTGTTCTGGAAGTATACTGCTTACATGAGAGCCATTTTGATTTGTAGCTATCAGTTGTCCATCTTCAGTTATATGTACCACCCTTGCCACTTGGCCAGCCATTGCCAAAGTCTGAAGGGTAGCTGCTGCTGTTTCCTCCACTGAGGCATCAATCGTGAAATCACTGTCATATCCCTGAATAATTATCACCTGTTGCACTTGTTCACTGGGCTGTGGATGCCTCCTCATATCATGAAGCATCTTATCACTGACTGGAGAAATTTCATCCAGAGCTGATGAAGAAAAAGGGCTGGTGGTTTCAACAAATGTAGCTCCTTGACCCTTCAGTCGACATTCATAAGACTTAGAAACTATACCTAATAAGAGAAAGAAAGAATATTTTTTTAAAAAAAAAGTCAAAAAAACAGTTTCACAAAATACAGGTATGAACAATATAAAGATATAAAAATCACAGATGATATGTGGATGCTATTCTCCTTTCAAGTATAGGTTAACTACTGTGATAAATTCTGTATAAATAGTAGCGAAGAGAATACTTGTATATGCAGGATAGTTCATGTTCAGAGGAACTTAAGAATCCTATTTCTTTTTAGCCGTGCTGAAATGTATTTATATACTTTCATTAAATGTTTCATCAACAAATTTGTAAACCCTTTTGAATTTTCAATATTTCTGCACAAATATGACTTAAAATGTAATCTGTTTTTCACGCATGCAACTGGATGAAGATAATTCCATTGAAGAAATTAGTCAAAAACATTATATTTGTTACATTTATTTATTGAAGGAAATGATCCAAAGCTATAACTGTAAGAATTACAACTGTAAGATTCTTGAAGGTTAAATCTTGTCTAAAGCTGGAGATGAAATTATCCATACTGGGATATTAGACTATGTATGTTTTATACATTTGCTTATTGTTTTGTTATTTTTCTGGGTTTTTTTAAAAAAATATTTTATTATCTTTCTCAGGTGTAAGGCTGAAATTGTCAGTCCTAGAAGCAAAGAAGCTGAGACCAGTGGTGGGTTGCCCCCGGTTCGGATCGGTTCGCAAGAACTGGTAGTAAAACCGGCGGGTGGCTCCGCCCACTGACCTGGACGTCATCATAGGTGATCTGCGCATGTGCAGAAGCTTCTGCGCATGTGCAGAAGAGCGCACGAGGGCGCAGAAGAATGGGCGTGGGTGCGATGCAAACTGGTAGTAAAGGTAAGTAGAACCCACCCGTCTGACACCAGAAATGCTACAGGTGTCTTCAATATCTAAAACTGAGATACAAGCAGCCAGACACGACATAAGGCTGGTTTAACAATTAAATCTTCAATTTTATGTATAATAGGCCATATTACCTGATTCAATAGTATGAAATCTTCATTATTATCACTCCATTTTCTGCAATACAAGTAACAGATCTATCCAAGTCTTATCCTTTTGAGTGTTCCACTTCAAGCTCCTAAATTCTGGTTCAGTTTCTGCAGAGATATTTATTGCTATTGCCCAGGGTGAAAGTCTAATAACAATCCTATTAGGGAATTTCAGTTGGCCAGGCTTAAAATATAATTAACACCAACATGATTATCATATTATGACTTTCCCAGATGTGTTCCATAAATGTGGGGAAAACATGGAATCTGTTCAGAGCTTAAATTCTGGTTTTCCAACCAACAAGTTTCCGAGATTTCCAAACTGGAAACACTGCAGGTTAAAATGTATGGCTGAACCATAGGGCTAGAAGTTCAGGATAGAAGTATCAAAAGCAGACACAAAAACTGAAGTATGATAGGTAAGGGCAGTGGTGAAATCCTCCGAGATTTGCCACCGATTCGCTGCACGTGCATGCCGAAATGCACACTGCACGCGCAGTATGCACCAAATGCACACTGCATGTGGAAAAAGGGGGCTTAAGAAGGTAAGTAGAACAGCAAGGGGGGGAACACCTGTGCCATGTGATTTATATTCACTAGAAAGCAGGATTTCCTGCTTTCTAGCGAATATAAATTGCACGGCACAGCTGATTGTCGGAAATACCAGTTTGGACCAACTGGTAGCATTTTTTTTACTACTGGTTCACCCGAATTGGTAGCTTTTATTACTATCGGTTTGTCAGAACAGGTGCGAACCGGTAGCATTTCACCTCTGGGTAAAGGGTAAATTTAGATTTGAAACGGGCCATTGCAGCTTCATCTTGACAGGCAATCTTTCCCCTAGATCTGAAGATAAATTAATGAAAAAAATTGTACAGTGTTTAACCCTAATCAATTTATAAGCAATGAATTGAATGAGATTTCAACCCTAATAAAGTTATAGAGAAGATATCTTAAGTTGTGTGAATCTATGCAGCAGTACTAAATTTGAATTTCTAATAGTAAAATCAGTCGATTATTTAATTTGCAATGATCCATTTGGGTTAACAATAGCACTGATAAATTGACTACAGACTATACAATGTAGTCTATATTTTTTTTAAAAAAATCACTATAAAATTCTCCGGCCAAGTCAGAATTACCAACAGTAGCTATGAAGGTACATTATGGGCAGCTTATGTATTGTAAGAAAATCTTAAAAGAAAGGTGGATTTACACTTTGAAGATGAAGTTTAAACAAGAACCACAAGCTGTTTAATAAAGGCTGCAGTTACATAGTATAATTAATCTGTAACAAAAAACCCCAACCAGTGGTGGGTTTCTACGCAAAGCGCGCGCACGAAGTGAACTGGTTGTTACACCGGTTGAAACCCACCACTGCCCTGAACATATAAACAGTCTGTGCATGTTCTCAGATGTTATTTGCTAGATAACCACTGATCTCCTGTGCCCTCCTTACCAGCTGAGCTTCTTTTAGGTCAACTTATTGCTGTGGAACATGTCCGTAGAGCTGTGGACGGGCTAAATCAGAAAACGGTATGCAGTTTATGTATCAATGGCACAAAGGAATCACCATTTGGCTGGAAACAAATCTGTTTACAGTTGAGGAAGAGCCCGTCAGGATTGGGCTCGGTTCTAGGTTCCATTTGGCTATCACTTAAACTTGAAAAGCTGGTTGGCTATGATTTACTGTGGATGTACAACATTGTCCTTGGAATGACTCGGTAGCATAATGCAATAAGAATGAATCTGTTGAATTTAAAATTGAAGAAGATATACAAAGTGGTTATGTAAGATTGCTAAATATTGTTAATATAGCAATCAAGAGCATGTGACAACTATTTCAAATTATTTGCTCCTCTGAGAGCAGCCTGGTTCCAGTACCTAGACATAATAATTTAGTAGAGTATCACAAACTCATGTGACCTTGTATTAGTATTAAAAACAACCTGGTCAGTAAGCAGAGCCTATGTCGCCTTACTGGCTTGCCCAAAGCAAGTAGCAAATTCAATGTGCATGTAAAATGAATAATCTACATTATATCATCCCTAACATTTCATATACTGTATATCTCAATACCATTTTTGATGAAATTACTGAACTCATAGATGTATCAGGATTTTAGGTTTAAAAAACCCTGTTTCACTTTCAGAATATCTCTATGCCAGCTATTAATGTGGAAGACTAGAATGCACCCATTATCAAAACAAAATTACATTATACCATTCTAATTTTAGATGGCAAGACAGAAGGGAGCCTTGATGTCATTAGAGAAAAGTTTTCTTTTTTAAAAAAAATTAGTGACTGAAATATTTGTCCAAGTTAAACAGCATGATTGATTTGGCACCCATTGATGGATTAAATTCTGGCAAGGAAAAACTGTAGGGGAGAACGAAATGGTTCTTTGTATTATTAACCTTATACTCTTTCTCTATGGAGATCATACTCAAGATTCTCAGCTTGAAAAAAAAGAATGGAAGGGAGAACATAACACAAAGAGACAATTAAAAATCAAAACCGATTCATATTTTGCAAGAGGATGATGTAATTAATTTCCACGTGAGTCTTGCTTTCGTCGACAAGATGCAGGCTCAGACTTGTAATGATATGGTCTTAAATCAAAACACAATCCTGCTCCAATATTATCCGTTGGACTAATTCCACAGATAAAGTCTTAAGAGTTGAACAGGAATGAAGTGATGGTGCATCAGAGCAGGATTAACAGAAGAAGATAAAGGAATATGTTTCCTCCCTTGGCTTCAGAGGTAAATGCTGCATCTGTGATTTTATGCATGTCCAGTCTTTGCTCAGCAATTGAACGGGAAGTCTCTTGGGGGTTGAGTTATCCTGTAAATTCCTTGCAGCACAGATAATTATGCCATTCTGACTGCTTGCTTAATCTATTTGAATCCAGAGGTGAGTTAGGCCACTTCCTGACCATTAAAGTAAACTACATGGGTAAATACTGCTGTCACTAAAGGGGTGTGATGAAGCTTAACTACACCAACATCTTAACTCCGGCTCAGTGCAACCCAAGCTATTCCATCATAGTTCATAAATGCGATTGCAGGTCCATCTTTTGATTCAGCAATTTAATAACTTCGAGTGCTGTCAGTAGTGCTTTGAAAAATGGATCCTATAAAATGTAACAGCCTCAATCAGATTGTAAAAGATTCACCCACGGAAGATTCTCCCATTTTCAACTATAATGAATTAATGTTGAGCTGTGTAGAAGTTCAAGTGTCAGTTAAACTAATGGGAATCTGTAGTGTAGGCTTAAATTTTAACTGGGCCAAAAATTTATTGGGAACATCAAGTTCAATTTTAGTGATCTTCATGGTAAATGTAATATGTGTAGCTGAATGGATTCCCTTTGTTTTGAGAGGATGGAAGTTAACAGAGAAAAAAATGTAATTCTAGAGATATGTTTTAAGAATTAGTTATGGCAAAGCATGCTCCCCCCCTACTTTCCTACTCATTTTTTTTTCTATTAAACATCACTTATCTTATATTTTAGAAATGCATTTTAAACAAATGCTGATACAAAGGAATGATTTTTTTTTGTTGACATAACAATTATAAAAATAAAATGCAAAGATGGCTGTACTTGCTGTTGATCGTCATTACAAAATATAAATGAACAGAATTACATTTTAAATTGATAAAATATAATAATGTAAAATTGCTATCTAGGGATAAAAGATCCTATGGATGTGTTTCATATCTATGGATATCAGGATCACAGAATTGGCTATTTTCCAAATATTCTGTATTTTCAACAGAGCCTTTATTTATCAGCTGGCACTTGGAGCAATTATTTAAGAAATGGAAAATCTTAAACATTTTGGGATATTATTATCTGTATACTCTATTCATGTTTATAGGCCACCTTTTCAGCAAAACAAGAGAAGATATGCTTTCTTTAATGTGATTAATGAAGAGTACAAATAAGATTTAGCCCAGCTGTGTTTTTGAAATCAAGAACTGAGTATTTTGCTGTTGTATGTCTATATTATTTTTGTTACAGCCCTCATTTCCCTGGCCTCCACCCTCTTAGAATAAATACCTTATTCTTTTGTTAAGCTCACATTTAATTAAAATGTACAGGATTTGTGCAGTGAACTTGAATGAAACAAATAAAACAAGGGCCCCCCTCTCTTGAAGGCATACGTTGTGAATGAAAAATGTCATTACAGTCTAAAAAATTTTGCAGTAAACAGGGCCTACAGAGGGAAGTTTCCTCTGTAATGACATCCATAAAATACACAAATGGCACTTTTAGTACCATCCTGAATATGGCATTTTCTGTGCTCTACACACAATCTAAATGGTTTGATCATAGAGCATAATACTCCATTGGGTTTATAGAACAATCAATGTTCCATAAAATGATGTATTTATCCAATAGTAGGCTCAGCAGTTACTGGTGTATGACATTGTAGGACACTGGCTTTGTACTGTTCAGCAGCACACATGCTGGCTGTAAAACTTATCTAACACTACTTCAACAACTTCATCTCATCTGTGTCAAGTAATTTGTTGAAGCCTCAGCTTGGCTTAAAAAAAAACTTGTAATAAAAATTCATAGAATTTTCAAGAGAATGAAAGCTGATGACAATAGAAAGGTCACATTGTGTCTCCACTAAAGGGGTCAAGGGTTATTTGCAGTTCTAAAACAGAAAGTAGATTTCATGCATCGTGTAGCAGATAAAGATGGCATTAAAAAGACTTGTCTCCAAAAGTAATGCATAACGTATCAGGAAAGTCTGGGTTAACGCAATATTGCATGTAAACCTCCACTTTGGCTTTTCTTTTATACTTTAACAGGCATCCGTCTGGGCTAAAGTGTACCTTGCTGATCAAGACAAAATCAAGGAAATGGACTAAAGAATGTTGAGTGATATATGCATATTTTTAACTATATGTTTTGATGACTTTACCTTTCTTTTCTATATAGGTGTTATTAAGGATTTTATCTACTGGGCATTACTCCTGCTGGTTATTTCCCTATGTTATGTTCATTGTAATTATTACAATTGAATATTTTAAGTAACATTACATGAAAGACAATCTTTAGGCAGCATATATCGACCAACTGAAATCCTTATGTTCCCACAAGAGATCTAAGTTCAGCCCTCCTCCATGAATTCTATTGATCCTTATCTAGAGCCAATTAGGTTTGACCACTAGTAGATCAGATTCTTGTGTATAAGTAGAATGAAATAAAGTTCTAGTGCTTTGAACTCTACTCCTGTTCCTGGTTTCTTGCGCCTAAACCACTTCCTGAGCATATACTATACAATGAATAGAAGCAGTTAGAAATGTTATTCCAAAAGTCTTATCTCTAGAACAATACTCACTATGCATCCCAATGCCCACTAATGTCTTCCAAAGCAACCTGGATGAAAGTAAGCATAATTTTTCTCTAACAGTTCATAAAACAAGGGTCAGAATAAGACATCATTTTTATGGCTCTAAAGCAAGCTACAATCTGAACTAACTGGGCAGATTTCTTTTATCCAGGGAGCAAGCATGGAAATAATAAAATTATGCTAACTTTGCAGAAAACAAAGGGGTTAATATCATTCTTTTTTATTTTATTATACCAAGTTAATTAACAGGACAACATATGCACATATAAAATGGTTTTAATAATAAAAAGAAGTAAAAAAAGTAAAAAAAGGGGGAGTCTTGTAAATAATATAATCAACAAAACCACTCAAAAAACTGGACCATGTCAATTAAAAGTCTTCTTCCTTGTCCCTTTGTTGAAAAAGCAATTAATTCATGTATTGGCAGACAAGATATATCAACAATTCATTGCTGCAACTCTGTTATAGATTTCCCTTTCCAGTGTCCTATGATAACTCTTTTAGCCAGCAGGTGTTTATTTCACTCTGAGGAAATTGTGAGAGGCAGTCAAGCAAAACTAGCTGTATTATTTTGCCTGCCTTAATGCAAGTGTGCAGCCACCTGAAGGTTTTTCTAGTGATTCTACAAAGCTATTCCCATGCTATTATTTAGTTAGTTGCTTGTGTTACTTATAAGCCGCCTCAATTTCCAAGCAAATCTAGCCAGTGTACAACAATATTACATTATAATTACAGCAGTTTTTTATCCTGGCATAGCATGATTTTCCCGCTTCAAAGAGACATGTCATATTAGAAATAGACTTTAAACCAGGGGTGTCCAACTTGGCAACTTTAAGACCTGTGGATTTCAGCTCCCAGAATTGGAGTTGCCATTTTGGCTGGGAAATTCTGGGAATTGAAGTCCACAAGTCTTAAAAGCTGCCAGGATTGGACAGCCCTGCTTTAAAGTTCTTGATAGTACAACTTCCATTACAACTCAGATATTTTAGCAACCCAAGGACAGGACGGCCACACAGTTTTCAAAATATTTTCCCTTGATAACATTAGCAATTGATAAATAACATTGCCTGAGAACAGGTGGGATAGCTATTGTGAATATGAAAAGAGTTCTGTGCTTTAGCTGCCATATGCCTGTGCTCAGGATGGGGAGTGATGGTGATGTCAAAATGGCAGCCATGACCATGCAATCCCTTTTTTTACATGCATCAGACATACAATGCACATAGGAAGAGGCTCGGGACTCTGACTGCATGCTTGCAGTCATCACCTCAACATTTTTGATAGGGTCAGTCAAGCAGGAAAACATTTCTAATGAGACTTCTATCAACTCCTCTACAGTATGTTCTGTGCTTACAGATCGAAACTGTGCCCATATTATCTTTGCCAGCTATTTTTAAACCTATGTTACTCTGTGAAGAATTTTATGCATACACATTGCTACGAAAATAATTTATACTATCAAAAACAATGACAACTAGCAGATAGTTTACAAGATAGTATTGTATTCTCTTGGGTAATTCCACTGAGGATTTGGGGTTTTGTGTTTAACTTGGCTCCTTATGTTTTCTTGTTAGTGCGCTAAAACGATTACTGTCATAACTTGCTAGTCATATCTATGCTTTGTTTATAAATGGAAGCACGATACAGTGTACTGTCATATCTTTCCAGAGCAAATTATAGGAAATAACCATTTATCTTCATTGCAGACACTTTCTTATGTTTGGTAGAAAACAAACCAGTATTCACCAACTGCACAGAGGCACCATTAAAATCAGATTTACAGTAAACAGAACCTGCAGCTGGGGTAAAACACTGTTAGTATTTTAATTATCAGCAAGGCTTTTGGAGGTCTAACATCTGCTCACAGCCAAAAGACAGCAGCTGTTTGTGTACACATGAAACAATGTGAATTTTTGTCTATAAATATTAAAATATACTGTACGTGGTGTATACGTTGCCACAACACTCTTATTAGGACTGTCATGTCTATGGGGCATCTAAAACTCTTTCTTGCTTCTAGTAAATTCAGAAAGAGCTGAGTCCCTTCAGAAGAATTAGAGCCAAAGACAGCAAAAATTCTTGAATCCGTAAATTGAACATACTTACAGGGGTTATTTAACTATGAAAATGCTTAGAATCTAAATCCTTACAAAATATCAGCGGTATGTTCTGATCACTGCACTTTCAAATGACATCAAGGAGAGGACATTTCAGAATAATGTTGAGGGCGAAACCCAATAAAATTTTTAATATTTATAATCTTTCCTTTCTTTACAATTCTCAAATATATTTTTGAATGGTTAACATCGAGAGAGCACTAAGGACCCCTGATTTCAATGCTGAGCTACAAATATCCTCCTTTATTGGTACTTACACTACTGCAACAGAATCTACATACAGCTATCTTTGAAGACGACTCAAATGTACAGGAAGTAACAGCCAGGTTGTTGGAAGCATCATTGATTTTTCTAAAAAGATACTTGCATTGGGATAGCAATTGTGTTTATGGTTGTAATATCATGTTTTATCTGATTCTGTAAACAGAATCAGAACAGTTTAGATGGAGGTATGCAAATTTCCACAAATAAATCAACATTCCAAAATTCATCATGCATTTGTAAAGCAACTTGAAAAAGCAAATTGATACCTGATTTAATCCTGAAAAACAGCATACGTTTACTGCAATGGCCCAATTCTTAATTTTTATCAACAGTGTGTTTTGAACTAAGTTATCCAACAACACAGGCTTTGGTGCAGTGTTTTGCTCTCTGACAAAGCATTAGGAATAGCTGCCAATCAAATGAAAAAAAGATAGCCAATTTGTCACATCTTTTCACTGCCAATCTATGAAATGTGCTTAAACACATTTCGTTAATACTCACATATGCTCAACACTATTTAGCAATTTATTTCAGCTGTGCTCAATGTCTTAGAAATTTTAGCTGGGGATAACAGGGTTTCCAGTTGAACACAACTAAAAACAGATATCTTATCTCAAACAGTTTTTTAAATGTGTTGTCGTTTGCAGTATGCTGTTGGGTGTTTAAGTTATTTTGACTTCTCTGTGATGGTTCTTTTTATTCTATTCATGCTTGAACTCCACAAAAAGTGGCTGGGGAAGAATTTCATGGACATATAAGAAGAACGTCTGCCAGCAATTGAGATAAAATATCTAACAATGTTGCTGATGGAAGACACATGGATGCCAAATGATGCTGTTTTCAAAAGCTTCAAAATTAACTCCTTTTAGTAATAAGGTCCTCCTAACATTCCTACCATTATTAAATCTATCGATTCTTTAAAAAATGGATCAAATGCAGAAACAGAGAACACAGGTAGCATAAATATTCAATCTACTTGATAGGTCACAAGTGAAAGTGTGTTGCTTAGATTCTATTTGCTAAAGGATATTTTAGGATGTATTTAATACAGCCCTTAACTGTAGTTGACGAAATATTTTTTTTTAATGACTGCACTTTTCAGTACATTGTCCATGGATGTATATTCTTTCAATCAAATGTCAATATATCAGTGCCCTTCTAGTCCTTTTTATCTCCAGAAACAGTAGCTCTAATGCACAGAAATTTACTCTCTGCTCCTTATATTCATGGATATTAATTAGCACACTGCATTGCATTGCATTGTATTGTTTTGCTTTAGGGGAAAAATGTTTTTTCACTATGCTATGAGACTTCCCTATGATTGGGATTGTAATCACATAAACTGAAATCACTTTCTCCCTCATATCCATTTTCATCCTTAAGCGTACTTTCTAAAGCAAATTAATACCTCACAAATGATACAATTAATTGAAGCTGATTTTTCATTTCTGTTCAATATAACAGGCAGACTTTATTCAGCAGTATCCAATTATTTCTAGCTTATATATGTACATAAAATGCAAGGCTGCTTGTGATTTCAGACCCCATACTGCTTTTGAAAGGATAGCATCAGTGGTGGGTTGCTACCGGTTCTACCCGGATCGGCAAACCGGTAGCAGCGGCGGCGGAAGGCTCCGCCCACCCACACCGGACACTTCTGCACATGCGCAGAAGTGTTGCGCACAAGTGCGCGCACGAGCAAACTGGTAGCAACAGGTTTTTCAACCCACTACTGGATAGCATATCACTTACCCACTAACAGAAACCTTCAAAAAACGGAAATCAAAGGTGTTGCATGCTGAGAAAAGTTTTTCTCATTCTTTATTTTTCTCTTTTCTCTCTACGATTACTTTAAGGTGAAGATCTTGAGGTGGATTAGTATTGCTGCCACCATAAATAACACAGAATATGACTGTTCACAAATGCTGAATTTCACTGTGAAATGGACACATCTGAGCTGGCCAACAGGTAAACACCCAGACAGAATTGTAGTTTCCTAATCTTAAACCACAAATTAAGAAAGATGACTTTTCTTTTTCAGAAATACTTTTAGAGCAATGAAACTATTTCATTGAGGGCCGCATTAGGGTTGTGTTTGACCTCGGAGGGCCGGGGTGGGTGTGAGTGGGTGGGCATGGCCAGCAT